TCGCAATCGAACTACCTTAGGTCAATATTGTATTTTGGAAGTACAAGAAAAACGGGAAGAAAAAAGGCCTTTTAGTTGAAAAAGTACTAAATTGTATGCCTTCTCAACAGCGTTCCGATTATCTGAATAGGTATATATATGGCTTGGTAGTCTCATAAAGTTGTAGATAATTAAAATAATAAAATTAGGCGTTTTATTATTCACAGGAATATGCTTAAAATTTTTGGGCTGATGAATACCCAGCTAGAACAGTAAGGCATATGTAATTCCTTATATAAGCCGTATCACTAAGAAAATTATCCCTTATGAATTTGAAATGTTTCCCTTATATAGTACAGGCCAACTAGAGGAATTCATTTATGGGCAGAAATGGGCTTCTTGTGCGCATATATCAGGTTTGATAGATGCTGACCATACTAATAATGCCTCATACTCAGTTTTACTAACTAGATCAATTCGTGTTCTCGAGAAAAAAAAATTTCACGGTTCAAAAATCTGAGTATAGCGGTCAAATTCTTTTCTCAAAATTTTGAAAATTCTTCGTTTTTTGGCCTATATTTGCTTTGTATGGTATTTGCCACAAAATATAGGCCAAAAACGATAAATGTTCAAAATTTGGAGAAAAAAGAATTTTGGATCGTGAAATTTTTTTTTCTCGGAGAACAGGAATTGATCTAGGAAATCTGAGTATGAGGCATTATTGGTATGGCCAACAGCTATCAAACTTGATATATTCGCACTAAGGTTTTTTTGTGTTCCACAGTGTTATATAAGGGATACTTTGAGGAATCATATAAACAATTATACATTACCCAAGTTCACGTACATCCAAGTTCGAATCATACAGCAAGCTTTTTAATGTTTTATTTATTTGTTTTTGAAATTAACAATATATTTCAGAATTTATAATTAATGCGTTGTGTCCATTTTAGTAAATCCACTTTGATTTTTAATTGTACAAAATTTATTATATACATACAGTATCGGTCATATCAATAGCAACCCCATTTCAAAGTGATATTATTTTCCTCTCATGTTAATTTATTTCTAAGAATTTGCAATAAAAATAAAGCTCAATTTCTAACAAACCCCATATAAACCCAATTTTAAAACTTCGTAAAAAAACTACAAAAAATACAACAAATTTTCACCCAAAATTCACACTTTTTTCTCAGAAGTGTTAGAATTTTTTTGACCACTCAGTTTTATAGGTCCTTCAATTTTAGTCTTATTATATGCAAGTTTGAAGTGGCTAAAAATTACCGTTGATTTTTTAGAATCGATATAAAAACAAATCGTGTTTAATCGTCTTCCATATACCGAAAAATGCGACTATATATCGATGGCTGAGTGGAATATCGACCTATCTCGGCAGCCAGGTCGAAAACACTCGATATCAGAAAACTTTACAACGCCCTATTTTAGAATTTGATTGAAAAATGCCCTATCTCAGAACTCGGTTCAAAAACACCCTATCTCAGCTGGCGATCCAAAGACGCCCTACTCAGCACATTTTCAAAGTATTTCCATTTGAGATAGGACTTTTTCGACCCGAATAATAATAATAACATACTATATACATATCTAGTTTCAACATAAAAAAAATGATGTACACATCATTAATTGTCTATACATATCTAAGTCAATATATGTGATATATATGTACATACATCTACATATCGTCGTTTAAAGTACAAAACCGTGTATCAAGATAATGCAAACCCACGTATGCGAGGTTGCATAAATTATTTTCTAGAGAGTAAAAACACTCATATTTCAAAATGGTTATCTTTTTTTAAAAAGCAATCGCATTTTTGGCTAGTATATTTCAGGAAGAATGGATAAGGATTGAGCCCAGAACTTGTGTGAGCAAATCCAATTTTTAGCAGCAAATGTCAGTTACGCGGTTTCGTACTTTAAACGACGATGTGTATATTAACAGGAAAGCAGCAATCTAATACACGGGTGAAACAGGAACGCAGCACAGCAGAAGCATACAAACAATCTGCAAATAAATGGCTTTTTAGGTTTTTAACACACAAAAACCTGGTTTCAACTTACTTCAACGTGTCTAAAGCACAACGCACACACTAATTCAAAGGCGCAACAGCGACACGGGCGGAGCAATACACAGGCGGAGCAGGAACGCAGCACAGCAGAAACGTCCACAAAATCTGCGAATAAATGGTTCATTAGGTTTTGAAATAACTAAGAGCTGGTTCCAACTTACTTCAAAATATCTGCAGGGTGATGCACACAATCAAATTCGGCCGCAGCTGCAGTTCACCAGAGAATGCTGCAAATGGAATGGTTCATCAATGAAGTCAAAATAATATGTTGCAACTTACGTGTATTAGCTCCTAATTACAATACCAGCACAGGTCGGCCAGGAAAACACTAAGGAAATGACCTAATAAATGAAAAATTATAATTTATTTGTAAAATAATTCGGTTTTATTACAATACTTACCAAATTTCACGCAATTGGAAAACAAATGTCAGCGAATAAGAACAAAACGAACAACGAAAATTGAATCAATGTAGCTTGTTTAGAATTTTTTCTAATATTTTGGGAAATGTTCAGTGAAATTAGCAAAGAAACAACACAGTTTCTCCTAAGGTAGTTCAAGATGGCGGATTAGAGCGAGAAGTTGCCAACGTATAACACCTTTCATTATTGCATCATGGAAATTGTACAGATTTTTCTTTACTAGTTCTTGTCAACCGCCTCATATGTTTTTCTTTACAGATTTCTAAAAGAATCGTAACAAATTTCCGACACTCTTAAAGATTTCGGGATCATTTGTTTGCAGGGTATATATATACGCATGATTCAATAATACAAGGTTAGATAATTATTGACAGCTGCGGTTTGACACTCCCTTACAAAAGGTTGCATTTACCAAGGACAGAGAAAGGGCAAGAATGCAATCCCTTGTTGCGAAAATGGTAGTAGAAAAGTACGCAAAGTAGGCAATTAGTAGTGAAATTCCTTTTGTAAATTCTAATGTATTTGCAGGAAATCTGGCATTTTAAACGAAATTTTGGATGTAATATTGATTTATCTACGTGAATTACGTAATTTTTTTATGCTATTTAGCTGTATAAAAACTGCAAAATGACTCAAAATTAAAATAAGACTACTATGAGATTGATGTAAATATCCAATGCTTATCTTTTTATCAGTTAAATATGCTTCATATGCATATACAAATAAACATATTGCACAAAATCGTATACTTTTATTTCACACCAAAGCTACACTGTTTCCATGTAAATTTG